CCAATACCTTCCAAGCCTAAACTCCCGTCCTTCAGCACCACCTGAGAAGGAACTGGGCTATTTTGAAGTGCAGCTTTACGCTGATTTCCAGTCACGCTTCTGTAGGAATGCTCTCAGTTCTTTTATTTCCTCTCCTCTTTGTAGGAAAAGTCACTGAAGGAAAAAAATGAAAAGTTTTACAGTCAGAAGAATTGGAACAGTGAGAGAAAGTAATCTGTGTAAATTTTGCTGCTGGATTATCCGCTACCTTCTGATCACTTCTATTAAACATGTCATACAAAAATCATACTAAGGCAGATTATTCTGTATTTGTATCTTTTAACAAAAATGAGAAATTGCCATTGAAAACCTTAGTTCACTTTGAGAAGGTATAAGATGATGAGCCTTTAGAGATACAAAATCAGGTAACAAACTTGGAAAGAATAAAATGGGAGTTTTGTGAGTCATGCTTACTGTATATGGTGTAAAAATACACAGAAAAGGTTTATTTAACATTTCAGTGTTCCATTCTTTATTTCACTCCTCCATTCAGAAATGTATCCCATAGTTATAAGCCTTTCTCCATAGTTTCTAAAACTATCAAGAAATGAAACTCAAACTAAGGGAGTTCCAGTTGCATATAGGTTGCAGTATTCTCTTGTTTTCAAGTGACTTTGTTTCTCTCAAAATCTTCTGCTCACTGCAGTGAGGGACTGTTGGGGAAGACTGACCATCCACTCCAGCTGTAACATTGTCTGGTAATGGAGGCTTATGTGGAATATCTGCCAGTTAAATACACAGACCTACATGCTTGCTTTCTGGGTCTCTGTAATCCCCGAATACTCAGGGGTACTGAAATACAGGCTATTAATTTTTTTCAGAGTTTCTTTTTTCTATATCTGAAGAGTTTTGGAAATAATACAGTTCTTCTGTTGTGTTACCTGTCTGGAAAATTTTAAGTTCCTTAAATGATAAAAGAACATGCAGTCAGGGTTCTGGATAATGATTTCTTTCCCCTCTTGTAACATCTCATACTTTTCTGTTCTCTTCCAGGAAAAGTTTTTCCAAATTCCTGCCTCTGAAATCTTAACTAATAATTTTCTTCAGCAAAAGATGCAGATGACCATGAATACACTCTGTCCTCCAGGAAGAAAATTAGGTCAGCTTACCATTATTTTAAAAGGGGGATGGGAAGGGAAAGGGTCTTTCAATCTGCTGTTGCATGTGAAAAGTCTTAGAATTCTAACTTATGCATGGGCAAAACTCAGAACAGAGAAATGCAGGAGACTGTAAGGAGAGTTCTAATTAATTTGTTTTGATACGTTTCTTTAATAGTAGAACTCCCTTTTGAGAAAGAAAAGTAATGGTTCAGTAGATTTTCATGTAGCATGCAGTGATGCGTGAATACAGTCATGTCTATGCAGGCACTAACATATAATTTTTATTCATATGGAAGTTAACCAGAACACCCTCATACTGAATGTCACACCACATTAGGGAAAACCGAGAGGGAATTCAGCATATGGCACATGCTTTGGGTGAGATTCTACTTTTGAATGCACATGCTGATTTAAAGCATCTCTTGCTACAGGAAACATCCATGGAAATGGAGCAAAGACTTAATCCAAATCCAGTCACAGAGGGTTTTGTACAGTATTTCTGTTGTGGCAGAAAGTAGCTCTGCCTAAACTATACACGTCCAAGGTAGATATATCTCTCTGCCACAGCTCCAACCTCCAGTGGCTGTCAGTGACCACCACGCTGGAGTCTCTCACTTACAAAAAGTGGCCCTATTGTAAAGGCTGTAAAGGATATTCCCTTTGACACTGATGAAATTGTCTCAGAGACACAAGGAGATGAGGTTTTATTATTGGAAAGTCTTTATATGTGCTATACTATGGTACAACTACTGGTATCAAGTGTTTTGAGAGGGCACTGGGGTGGGGAGTGCAAGGCTTGAAAGATTGTCACTGAACACCATTTCAGATGGTGCGGGAAATTTTAAGATACAAATTGGAATTTAAAAATTAGTAATTCATTTTTCTTCCTATTAATTGCTGTATACATTTAGATATTCTAGTTAAGAACCTGCTCAAGTTATACTTTTCTCCTATAAAAGTTAGAAATGAGTATTAAAAAATAATTTGGGTTTTCTTTGTAGCTGACCTGCCATGGCTGGAATGCTTCATCAAGTCTTATAATGTCAGAGATGCGACGAAACAACAAGTTTGTTACCAAATTTTTGACACTACAGTTGCTGAAGACGTTGTATAGTGATGTGTCGCTAATAGAAATTAATCCAGTAACGATCCAATTTTGTCAGGTTTGGGATCAGAGACTTTATTAAAAAAAAAAAAGCACCTTTGTTTCTTTCTTAGGAATTTAACCTGTATGTATGAAGTTTTAGTTTGTATATTAATGCAAATAGGAGTTATGCTTTGATCTATTTACTACTTTCCTGGCATACAGCTTTATGATCTGAGTGGAAGTGGAGGTGCTAAGCTTTTCACTGGAGGCTGCTTGGCTCAGGCTGATGGAAGCAATCTAGTGTCCATCTGTCCTTCAAAAAGCAGTGATGAACATACTCTAAACTGGTGAGTTTTACTCAGAAAATAGTCAAAATGATGCTGCTTTGTTCATTTCTGAATTGAAATAAATGATGTCAGCAGAGATAGGGAGATGGAGCTCTTCAGTAAACTTTCAGACTACATTTTGCAAGCATATGTTACTGTTCTCAGAAAGCAAGTTTGACAGGGAGGTTGTCTGTTTTTAGAGACTTCTTTCATTTTACACTGATATGTACATTTAGACAGAACTCTTCCTGTTCGTCGTGCTAAGGTAACTGCCATGTGTACCAATTACTATGGATTTTGGTGGAACAATGAATGTGACCATGTAATGATTATCACTAAAATTAAAGTCAAGCCAAGAAGGTAAGGTAGTATAAAATTGTAAAATAAATATTGACATTTGCTAGGTTGTGATGATTTTTTAAGGTGGCCCTAGTGGGTACCAAAGCATGCTTATTAGCTGTGTTTTCAAAGGCTCATGTATCTGGCGAAATTCACTGTCAGATTACACTGCCCACATCTGCCTTTTCTATCTTATATAATCAGATTGTATGACTAAATTTAGAAATACAGAACTGATCTAGTGATATCATGCCTTGAAAATACTGCTGGACTAGAAAAATTACTTGGTGGTTTTATTTTGCATTCTGAAGTCCGTAAGACAAATTCAGGACATGTTTCTCCAAGGACAATTAATGTAGAAATCCCTGTCAAATCAAATACTTTCCATCAGAGCAAAATTACTTAATATTTACAACAGCTGTTTTAAGGAAATTCAGAAGCAAGATGGAATCTTGTAAGTAGATTATTATTTTAATAGTAGATGACATTTTATTTTTTTATTTTTAGTAGATTATGCAATTCGTGATTTAAATTTTTCTCCAAATATCTTCTGATAATTTTCTGGTACTCTAAAAAATTATACAGACTCTATATGTCATAAACCAGGAGATTGCTCTTTATTGATTGATATATAGAGAGAACTACTATTAGAAGTCAATATTTCCTTTAAAAAATATGAAAAAAAAAACAAATAAACTTTGGAATTGAACAAGCAGTTTACCAAAGAGCAATACTGGCTTATTAGAGCTTGCCTGAATATGCGAATAAATGCATAAGCAAAAAACAGTTATAAAAAGTTATTTAATAAATATGATAAAACTTTAGACCCAAATTATTTCAGAAGTTAGGGATTAAACTGAAGGCAGTCTTTTTTTTGCTTTTCTTGTATATAGTGTATGAAAACATTGGAAGGAAATATTTTTATTTTCAGAATTTTGTTAACAACTCTGATATTGATATTGTACATATTTTCTAAATAATTCTTTGTAAAGTAATAAATATGTTTTGAACTTTGATGTAAACTAAATTTCACCACATCCCTTGTCTAGATCTCTGCCAAAAAACTCTGCATATGCATCACTTGATTTTTTTTTTTACTATCGAATATTGTATTAAAATGTTTAATAAAGATTTTTCCAGATAGTAAATTTTCCTATTACTTTTTAGTTCCTAGTTCGTGTGACTGTAAGAACTTTGTCATCAGTAGCTTTCATCCAACAAAATGCTCCAAATGAATGTTTGTGTAGTTTGTTGGATTGAAATGTACATGTTTAATTTGCTTTCTAAATACAATTCATAGAAAGAATTTTAATTAGTAATTAAAGGTTATGTATTTGACAATACTAAAGATCACTGTATAGAAAGGAGTTAGTGCACAGACAGTCGAAAATGTCTGTGTCTCATTGATAGACTTGTAGCAATGGAATTCACTGAGATGGAACTCAGACCTTTATTTTCTTATCCTGGTGAAAGCTGAGGCCTGTGAATAGCTGACTGATGGATGGAAATCTTGAGATTGCTGTGTCCTGAGCTTACAGCACCAACAGACTCCCATTTCTGAAAGCTGAGCATCTCAGGCAGCAATGACTTTTAGCCATTACTAGCATCCTCCTTAACAGAAACAAAGTCATGCTTTCATTGGTCAGTTTCTTAACCAGGTAAGAGATTTAAATTTCTAAAACATTAATAAAAGGTCAAATGTCTATTTCAATAGTTTTAAAAAATTGCTGAAATAGATCATAATGTATTTAAAGACACTTCAAAGTTGAACCAATAGATCAGATTAACATTGGTACACTCAGATCCAGTGGAAACTCCAGGCATGTCTCCCTGGTGTTTTATCTTCGTCCGTCCACATACATCCCAGCATCCGGGGTAACTGGATCAAAACATCAGCTTCTTGCTAGAAATGTGGGCTAAATGGCAAATATGCATGGAATATGAGGTATATAGCACACAGCAATATCACCACAGGCAAGGGCAAAGAATATCTGATTGAAAAGGAGGAGCTGTGAGGGAAAATAATAAAACAATAAAAGAACATAAATGCATTCCCTGTCCCCCCCTCCCCATCTAATTACACAGGTAAGTGCATAAAAGTTGTAAAATTGTAATTAAAAAAAGAAAAACATAAACAAAACAAAATAAATGTGAAACAGCGTTTTCAGGGATGCCTGCATGATTGGTCTCCTTGAAGTTGTGATTTTCAGGAGACTTAAAAAAAAAAAATTAAGATTGGAAATCTCTCCAAAGTCAGTTGAATTTAAACTCTAGGATGCCTCATGCTCTCTTGAAACTCCAATTGGAAAGACAGAATATAAATAAGTAACATATATTGCAGAAACAAGGA